TATACACACACATCCATATATATATATTTCAGAACAAAATGTTGTTTATATTTTAAATATATATATATATAATATAAATTGTATGAATATAAATATAGATATGTAAATACATGCAAATATTTTCAAAATATATACTGTATGTGTGTACATAATAAATATACACACACATATTACACAAAAACGTTTATTTTGTGTGCGATTAATCGCGATTAATAGTTTGACAGCACTCATTTTAATTCGTTTTTATTTGTACCTTTTCTGTTCTATTTTAACATTTTCATTTTTACATTTTACATTTGCTTAAATGTTTACTTTTTTTAAACTTCTGCGTGAAAATTGTTTCTACTCCAAATTTAGTGTTTAATATAAATTGTATTAATTTAGTTGATACTAAGACATGTCACCTTTCAGACATTTTCAGTTCATGTAAAACAGCCTTTTCAGAAATATTGTGAAACTTACATTTCAGTTTGAGGTAGAATATTGATTTGCATGTACATGGGCTACATTGCATTGCGCATTACACTATTACTTATGTTATATTCATTGAGCGTTACATTTGCAAAAGTTCTCCAGTGAATGTCTTTTAGTAAAGTAGACTTACAAAATCTGAATCAGAGTCTTTCTCAGAATCCGGAGCTTCGCCTAAAAAGTGACACAACATGATCATGAGGTACGTAGCTGAAAATACTTACAATGACATGTGATTTGTGAGAACACAACATTTATCCTGCACTATATAATTGTCTTGTGATGGTTTATAAATGTACTGAAAATCCCCCCGAGTTACATCAGCTAAAGCCATTTTTAAGGATCAGATCAAGTAAAAACAAGTGCACATTTTTCAACTGCACATTCACTTTCTAGTTCAGAGACTTCAACTTGCCTTGATAGTCTCGCACTGGTACTGTCGGAGGTCTTTTCTTCTTTATTCTGAAACACAATAGCAACCCTAAATACAGGAGGTTCTTCATTGCTGTTGATTTCAGCACATTGTGGATTAGTGATAGTATGCTGAGTTTCATTTGTCAGCAACGTTTAAGCACATAATTGCATGTCATCTACAACATACGAAAGCAAAAACACACAGTGGCAGGACACAGAATCAAGAGACGGTTGTTAAAGTTAAAGGCCGGATTATAGTAAGTCTTTCCAAAGACACCACAAAGCTCTCGTAGACGTTACGGTGGGCGTCTGGTGCTATTTCTTCACACACAGACAGAGAGAATCGAAGCAGAACCCTTAAAGGCCGTAACCTTTTTTTTTTTTTAAGCAGACACGTGTGCAGGTAAATGGAAAAAGACACACATGCTTGGTTTTAAGGATCTGAAGCGTCAATCAACAGGATTCACAACAGAAACACAGTGACACTTTGATACCGGTTCAGCGTATTTCTCCCAGTTTCGAGAATATTAGCTGTTTGTTCGTTCTGAAACCTTGAATAAATGGAAAAATTAATAAATTGGAAAACAACTGTATTGACAATTTGTATTGATAAATAACATCAACCTGCATCATATCTGCTGAGTGAAATCCAACACTTTTTTTTTTACTAATTTTGGATGCTGATTCCAAAAATAGTGTCCGTTTTGCACATCGAGCACGTCGCAGTTTCCATAATTCTATAAAACATATTTTATATTTTGTTGCATTTCTGCTTTTGTAAATTGTACCATTTGTTCAATTTTCATTCCTTTGTCATATGCATGACATTATTTGATGCTTAATCCTGATATTTACTTTTCCCCCATAGATAGTAAATAAAATGATGCATTTTGAACTTTTGACATTCGACTGCTTGTTATTTTGATGGACCTCAAAAATGTCCCCACAAGGTCAAAATTTACTAGTATTACTATCCTTGTGGGGACATTTGGTCCCCATAATGTGATAAATACCAGGTACACACATACACACACACACACACACACGTTTACTTAACTATCTAAATGGGGACTCTCCATAGGCGTAATGGTTTCTATACTGTACAGACCGTATATTCTATTGCCCTACACCAACCCTACCCCTAAACCTACCCCTCACAGGAGACTTTCTGCATTTGTACTTTCTCAAAAAAACTCATTCTGTATGATTTATGATTCAAAATTTACTAGTATTGCTATCCTTGTGGGGACATTTGGTCCCCATAATGTGATAAATACCAGGTACACACACACACACACACACATATAATTTGCTAAATCTTCATTGTTATTTTGTGGGGGGAAAAAAAACAACATAATTATTATTGATATTTCTATACTCTGCATCATCAAATTAGGCAATGTTAGGCCTTTTTTGCTAATTAATATGCAGGGCAGAACTCCAGTTTCTTAGGTAAAATACCAGCACCTTTTATCAACAAGCCACATGATCTGAGGAATCACTGATGTCTGGAGCACAAATGCATGGAACAAAAATGCACTGAAGTTTCATATTGAGGGTTTTAGAAAAACCCCTTAACCATAAGCATGAACAATAGTATCAGTGTTACTTGATTTGGGCAAACACCACAAATAATTACAATTTGCAAACGCGAATGAGCTAAAGCTGTTTTCAGGTTTTCATGTTATTAGAATGAACACATGCATTTATGAATGTTTTTATACAGCAGGTGTTCCTTCATTAATAACAAGTGCTTGCTTTTGTTGTAACTTTCACATTGTTTCTGTCATGCAAGCCACACCTAATGTCCTTTTTGGGACTATTCCTCCATCTGAATAGAGGAAGTGAGAGGAAAAGTGTTTGAGGACAGTCAGCAGATGTTTCCTTGCGTCTGTTTACAGACACGCAAAAATAACCTTTTTTCTTCTTCTGTTGTGTTTTAATTCGTGAAGATGTATGCAGAATATAACACACCTTTTTAGTCTGTTGAAAAGGCTGTCGTCGTTCTTTTTTATGTCTTGAACCATTTTTTGTAGCTGCCTGAAAATCAAAACACGAGTTAAGAACAGCACTTGCAGATCAAAAGTTTGGTTGGTAGGGGTTTTTTTGTAATAGAAAGTAGGCTGCATTTATTTGATCAAAAATACAAAAAAATTCTGAAATATTATTCGAATTTAAAATAACTGTTTTCTAATTAAATATCTGTTAAACTGTAATGTATTTCTGTGATGTGCAGCTGTATTTTCAGCATCATTACTCCACTCTTCAGTGTCACATGATCTTCAGAAATCAGTATAATATGCTGATCTGCTGCTCAACAAACATTTCTGATTATTATCAATGTTGAAAACAGTTGCGCTGCACAATATTTTCGTGGAAACTGTGATACATTTTATCTTTACAGGATTCTTTGATGAATAGAAAGTTCAAAAGAACAGCATTTATTTGAAACAGGACTCTTTCATAACATCCTAAATGTCTTTACTGTCACGTTTGATGAATTTAATGCATCCTTCCTGAATAAAAATATTAATTTCTTAAAAAACAAACACTTAGTTTGAAATGGGTAGATAGGTGAATAGGTGTTATACACATGCTTCGTGAAGCTCTCAGACGTTCTGTAAGGCTCTGTTGAAGCTTAAAGCCTGGGGTTAACAGCTTATCATACAAAGAACTGCTTCTGAGCTGCTAATGTCTGTGTTTGTGTAGAAGAGACAGAGTTCGAGACACATAATGAATATAATTACAGTCCACATAGAAACTCAACACAATTCCAGCTTAAACCACTCACTAACTTCAAGATATCCATCAATGGAACCGAGCCGGTCACATGGCGCGTCCTCATTGACCTTCATTGGCATATTGTATTGTTGTATATCTGATTATATCTTTATTTAACCTTTATTGATAGCCTCTCTGAGATTAAACAACTCTTTCACAGGAGTGTCCTGGCCACAATGAGCAGCAGTCGGTTTCATCCCAAACTTACAAAACAAAAACAAACTAAGAACACTTATCTTAAATGGTTTTACTTTTTGTAAATAATGATTTCAGTGACTTTTCAAAAGCTTCCTGTTAGCTTTAAGAGATGCAGATAAAAATAATAATAATAATTGATAAATCATTTGCTGTTTTTCAGTTGCATGCTCATATAGATTTACTAAATGCAAACGTTTTGATTTATTGAAAAATAAGCATTTTAAGTGAATCCCTGTAACGTAAATCTTTAACTAGTTGTAGTCCGACTGAAACTGAGCGCAGACGACTTCCTTCTGCATAGATGACAGTAAAACTAAATCATTTAAAAGCTTGCCTTACCTAAGTTTATCTGTAGCAGGAGCTGTGAATCTGTTGAAATACTCCATTCTGTGTTTCTATACTGACTGTGGTGAGTTAGTAGTGTGAGCTGCTAGTTGAGTGTCACTGGTTAAGCAGCACATGTGTCGAGGAGGGCGAGTTTTTTCCACAGAAGTGGTCGGTAATGAGGATTATGAAACTGCTGTTGAACGTCATGTTACCTCTATATTTAGAGCCACTTTTAACTGATCCACTTCAATGAAATTATGCTATTTCTTGCGCCTCTGTGTTCTCAGTCTCTGTCTTGTGCATTTTGCCAACTTTTATGCGTCTAATAATAATGGTTCTGGTTTCCCTTAATGAACTTGATTATTGCACTCTTCTGTTTTTTTTCTAACAGAGGCTGCACTGTGAATGATGTTTAATGCATTTGTATTCACGTCATGTTACCTCTATATTTAGAGCCACTTTTAACTGATCCACTTCAATGAAATTATGCTATTTCTTGCGCCTCTGTGTTCTCAGTCTCTGTCTTGTGCATTTTGCCAACTTTTATGCGTCTAATAATAATGGTTCTGGTTTCCCTTAATGAACTTGATTATTGCACTCTTCTGTTTTTTTCTAACAGAGGCTGCACTGTGAATGATGTTTAATGCATTTGTATTCATAAACATATGTGACCCTGGAGCACAAAAGCAGTGTTAAGTCGCTGGGAGATATTTGTAGCAATAGCCAACAATACATTGTATGGGACAAAATGATCAAATGTAACAGAGGCTGCACTGTGAATGATGTTTAATGCATTTGTATTCATAAACATATGTGACCCTGGAGCACAAAAGCAGTGTTGAGTCGCTGGGGGATATTTGTAGCAAGAGCCAACAATACATTGTATGGATCAAAATGATCAAATTTTCTTTTATGCCAAAAATCATTAGGATATTAAGCAAAGATCATGTTCCATGAAGATATTTTGTAAATTTCCTACCGTAAATATATCAAAACTTAATTTTTGATTAGTAATATGCATGGCTAAGAACTTCATTTTGACAACTTTAAAGATGATTTTCTCAATATTTAGATTTTTTTTGCACCCTCAGATTCCAGATTTTCAAATAGTTGTATCTCAGCCAAATATTGTCTGATATTAACAAACCACTCGGCCAAATATTGTCCGATCCTAACACACCATACATCAATGGAAAGATTATTTATATATAAATCTCTCTTTCAGAAAATGTAACCCTTATGACTGGTTTTGTTGTCCAGGGTCACAAATGTGCTCATGTGTTTTACTTCATGGATATGAAACAAACTTCTTGACTTTTCTAAAAATGTTTTTAAAGGTTAGTGAAAGTATGCATTCTATTTTTGGTTGCAGTTGTAACTGACGAGGAACGGACTTTTTGCTCAGCTGGTCTTGTATGCACTTTATAAAATATATATTTGTTTCTTTGCAAAAAAAAAAAAATTTAAATTAAAAATGAAAGTAAATTGCATTGCTAAAATGTCTAAATCATGTAGGATATTTAGAAGTGAAAACATTGTTTTTTTCATGCATTATTTTGTAAAATATAGAAAAATTATATATATATTTATAAAGAGCAAATATAGCATTGGATCAACAATAAAGTAACAATATAAAAGTAGCAATTTAATGTTCATTACTGATTTAGTTTTTTGCATTCTGACCATATTGATTTGTATCTTTGCAGAATTCACATTCCTAAAATGTCAGTATATTTAGTAGTGCAAACATTCTGCTTGATCTGCAAACCAAGTCAAGAAACATAATTTAATGTTCTGTGCTGATGTCTTTGTGTATATTCTGACCAACATATATTTGTCTCTTTGCAGAAAAAAAACTAAAAAAAATAACTGTATTGCTAAAATTTCTATGTTTTATAGATTTAGTAGTGAACAGTGCTGGGTAGTAACTGATTACATGTAATCTAGATTCCATAATCCATTACAATGACTTTTTATGGATTGCGTTTTACATAGCTTTACACAATGGCAGCACCAAGTCTTTCTTTTTTTCTTTCAATGTTTCCTTTCTAAATTAACCTACCACTTCTATACATTTGGACAGTCTTCCAGTTTCTGTGTAATTACACATGCCATCCACTAGTCAGGTGGCTACAATTGCACAGAAAATGGACATGTTTTAATTAGTATTTTTATGCAATGTATAGATTTGCAATCCACGCTTCCGAACAAAAGTACCACTCAGTCAAGTTAGATCATGTGTAATTGCGTATTATTGCAAGTAACTAAACACTGTTGATGCGTAGCTGTGAAATATTGCAGTATGTCTTCATCATGTCCCGTGAACTTCACTAATTATTCATTCTGGAAGTCTGGGTGAAAATATTTCAGATATTTCAGGACTTTGGCCATGTGATATTTTCATGTTTATTGATTAAAAATTGAATATATTTTCTTTCCTTTTTTTAAGTTCCAGTAGTTAAGTCAAAAGTAATCTAAAAGTAATCAGACTACATTACCTAATATGTCTATATCTAATCCAGATTATGTACTTAAATACAACTTTTGTCATGTAATTTGTAATCAGTAATCGACTACAATTCTTAAGTAATCTACCCAGCACTGCAGTGAAAATATAGATAGATGTAAACTAGTCCAGCTTCCTCATTCCTGCAGACAGTCATTGACTGCTATCAGTGAGGGACACATGAGAAAATACTGAGGATCCTACAAACAAGCAGCGGGATGGAGAGTTTAGAGTAGAAATAGAAATAGAAACAGAAACGGATTCCTTACGGCCGATGGATGAAACTGAATTTGTTGAGGTCACCGGCCGAGAGCATCTGCAAGAGAAACAACAGGTTTAAAAAAAATCACTTCCATGTTTTGAGTTCAGTCTGTCATATAGAGTAAAGTTTTTCATAACTCGTCTGTGTTCTATAGCTTCAAGGTACATTTCTGCAAAGAGAATCAGTAATGTTTAGTGACAGTCGGGTTCTGTTTGAATGTTTCTGTGAGACACACACACACACACGCACGCACGCATGCACGCACACACACTCTCACACACACACACACACACAGACAGACAGTAACTGTAAATGAAAATAAACTTTATTTAACAAACTTTTCTGTGATTAAACAGAATGTAACAATTCTAAAATTGGCACACCTGATTCTTTCTGCATACTTGTTTTCATCAAACTTTAGAATGTATTCATTTTCATTAAAATGGTTTAAAACTTGACTCAAAAGTGTTCCCAGAAGTTTCTTTAAATGAAAATATATGTACGCAAATATTGTTATATTGCTTTGTTTTTGATCAGTTTATATGAATTGGTGTAATAACGTGTTTCAGTTTAAATTTTACATAAAATAAATTTATTATTATTTTTTTTAAAAATCCTTGACATGTGGCCTGCATTTTCTTGCATTAAATAAATGAAAAATTGTAAAAATGTTATTAAAATTATAAATAAATGAATACACGCACGCACGCACGCTCGCTCGCACTCACACTCTCACTCACTCACTCACTCACTCACTCACTCACTCACTCACACACACACACACACACACACACACACAATAATGCATGAATATTGGTATTGCTGATGAGAATTTACACTCTTAAATATAATTTGTCAGTAAATCCTGTACATGATATACATTACAATAGTAGATCATAGTAAGGAAAACATCATATTACTTCAGAGAATGTGATTTCTAAGTAACAAAAGTTCAAAAGTCAAGCCAAAAGGTGAAATCATCTTTATGGTTTATGATTGTAAGATGCATTTTTCTGGCTTTATTAGGAATATAAAATGGATGTTAAATGTTTTAAACACTAGTATGTTTAAACCTTCAGTAAACACACTGATTAATTCAGTTGTTATTTTAATGTTATGTTCCTTACTAATTTAGCATTTTTCTGTTTTGAGACACACTGGTTATGTTTGGAATGAAAAACTAACATTTATATATATATATATAGCCCATGTTAAAAGAGTTGCTGATGGTGTTTTTCCACTCCATAATAGTGGACTCACTGAGCATCTGTGTTGGCTCAAATGTTGATCAGATTCATACGTTCCCAAGGAACACAAACTGATTCAGATATATAGCCTGAGAGCCTTTTTTTCTCAATTATTATTTATATGAAGCAGCTGTCAAATAAATTCTGTGTAATCAGAAAACTTGAACAGGCTTTTTCCTCATGTCTAACACTAGGTGGAGACCTTAGCCAGCGGGGAAACAGGCTGCGTTCCAATTCACCTGCGTGTGCCATATGCACTCAAGTGTGTTGCTGAAAGTCCATACATTTGAGTGTTTTGATAACAGACATACTGTGATGACAGCAGACCTTCAGAAGGAAGAAAAGCAATCCTGAATGAATCCTCTGAGACCCACAGAAATGACCCTCAATAATATGTACTGCATTTGGCCTATTTCTGTTTGATGTTGGAACACTTAGGCCTCCTTTCATTTTGCCCTTTTTAGTACTTACCGAGTCTGAAGATTCCTGAAGATGCAACTTTACTTTAAATGACATTTTGACATTGTCTGAAGGAAATGAGAGTCGTGGTGTGAAGGTGTTTTGAGTGTTTGTCAGGGCGCTACTGTCACTGCAGCACTGCTTTTAACTGGTTGTGATGTGTTTGCTAGGGTGTTGTGGGGTGTTTTTAGAATGTTGCTATGCGGTTGCTAAGGTGTTTTTAGAATGTTGCTATGTGGTTGCTAGGGTGTTTTTAGGTTTTTAGAATGTTGCTATGTGGTTGCTAGGGTGTTTTTAGAATGTTGCTACGCAGCTGCTGGGATGTTCTGGTGTTTTTAGAATGTTGCTATGCGGTTGCTAGGGTGTTTTTAGAATGTTGCTACACAGTTGTTGGGGTGTTCTGGGTTGTTTTTAAAATGTTGCTATGCAGTTGCTGGGGTGTTTTTAGAACGTTGCTATGCGGTTGCTGGGGTGTTTTTAGAACGTTGCTGTGTGGTTGCTAGGGTGTTTTTAGAACATTGCTATGTGGTTGCTAGGGTGTTCTGAGGTGTTTTTAGAATGTTGCATTGTGGTTGCTAGGGTATTTTTAGAATGTTGCTATGCCATTGCTGAGGTGTTTTATAATGTTGCTACGCAGTTGCTGGGGTGTTGTGGGGTGTTTTTAGAATGTTGTTATGTGGTTGCTAACGTGTTTTTAGAATGTTGCTACGTGGTTGCTAGGGTGTTTTTAGAATGTTGCTATGTGGTTGCTAAGGTGTTTTTAGAATGTTGCTATGTGGTTGCTAGGGTGTTTGTAGAATGTTGTTATGCTATTACTAGGGTGTTTTTTTATGTTTCTATGCAGTTACTGGGGTGTTTTTAGAATGTTGCTATGTGGTTGCTGGGGTGTTTTTAGAACATTGCTATGTGGTTGCTAGGGTGTTTTTAGAATGTTGCATTGTGGTTGCTAGGGTATTTTTAGAATGTTGCTATGGAGTTGCTGGGGTGTTCTGTTTTTTTTTATAATGTTGCTACGCAGTTACTGGGGTGTTGTGGGGTGTTTTTAGAATGTTGCTATGTGGTTGCTAAGGTGTTTTTAGAATGTTGCTATGTGGTTGCTAGGGTGTTTTTAGAATGTTGCTACTGTTTTGGGAATGTTGCTATGGAGTTGCTGGGGTGTTCTGGGGATTTTTAGAATGTTGCTATGCCGTTGCTGGGGTGTTTTTAGAATGTTGATACAGAGTTGCTGGGGTGTTTTTAGAATGTTGCTAGGGTGTTTTTAGTACATTGCTATGAGGCTGCCTGGGTGTTTTTCGAATGTTGTCATGCCAGACTGATCTGAGAACGGGCCAGCGCTGGCGAAGCAGCAGAAAATTGCTTTTGAAGCTGCAAGCTACGCATGATTGAAGACTCCCGACGTGCCTCGTTTTCTTTCCTGTGCTGTTCCTGTTGAAATCACAGGCTTGTGATTTATAAAAACAGTCATCTAATGTTTTGACCTCTGCTTCTGGTTGGAAAATAGCTTTAAAAAAAAAAAAGTAGTTAAGTTACACTGCAAAATTTTGCCACCTGATTCAACTTAAAGAAAAAAATATATAGTTTTTATTAATATTTTGAATTGGCTTTTGATTTTCTTGTTTTCATTTTAATTTAACTTTTAGTCCTTTTAATTAAAACCTTTTTTTTAAAATATTACTATTTAGATTTAACTTTTTAACTTTTAGTTTTTGATTTTGTTTATTTGCAGTTAGTCATTTTAATGCTTTAACTTAAACTATGGAAATAAGAAATGCTTCTTTGGTTTCTTTGTGTCAGTACAGTACAGTTTTATTTTATTTATTTAATTAAAAGTATTCTTTATTTATATTTACTGTATAATAAGCTTTTATATTTTCCGTTTTCATTTTGTATGTAATTTTTTAATTTTATTAATAGGGTTTTTTTCTTTTATCTATAGGTTTAATTTAGTTTTTATTTCATTTTTAGCTTTAGCTCTAGGTTTGATTTATTTCCAGTTAGTAATTTTAGTTACTATAGAAGTTCTTCAACCTAAACTTATTTCCATTAGTTGCCAAGGAAACAGTTCATCTTATATTTACTTTTTATTTCAATAAACAAAACTTAGAATTACTCTTATAGTTTTTTATTAATATTTGGAATTGGCTTTTATTTTTATATTTTCAGTTTAAAAAATTTAAATTTTTTAAAATTTATTTTACAAATTGTGTTTCTTATATTACTATTCAGGTTTTAGTTTGACATATTATTTATTAATATGACTTTATTTATTATTTATTTAGTTAGTAATTTTAGTGCTCCAACCTCAGCTTTTTTCAGTTAGTTCCCCAAATAAACATTTGTAATTTTCGTTTAAGTTCTTCATCTTATATTTATTTAAGCTTTTTTTAATATCAGTTGCTGCATTGAATATTTTCATATAATACTGCATTTTCTGTACAAGTAATTTCAACTATTTTTTTTTAAATGTTATTGAATCTTGTATAACTTAAAAAAGGTAGTTAATTATTTGGAATTATAATGTAATGGAAAAAAACACATTTACTTTCTGATAATAAATTTTTTTACAGTGACCGCTGGTTATTTTATCCCCGGCACAGGAGTGAAAGTGATCATGTTGTGTTTACAAACGGCTCATCAGGCTCTCAGCACTCACTGCGTGTCAGAGGAAACCTTCCTGTGATCTACAGACTCTTTCACCAGATGGTTACCGCATAAACGCCACATGAATATGCAAAGATGTCTCATATATGCCCTTAACACCCATTCAGGAGGACAGTGGGAGTGATGTAGAGGAGCAATAGAGGAAAACACGTCCGAAACATTTGGCACGATGCTGCGACTTCACTGAACTTTGAGCACAACACTGATGAAGCTCGTACAAATATATAGTATATTTGCACTCGTCAAGTGCCAGTAAGGCTACACGTGGAAAAAATTGCTTTTTTGTGAGTAAATGAAACTACTGGCTGGTCAATATTTAGGAAGTAGTGTTTTTTTAAACTAATCTAAAAGAAGGAGGTCAACTCGCTGAGTCAACAAAACAAAAATGAGGAACAATGTATTTCATTTTCAACAGCCTACTTTTAATGAGATAATTAAAAAACATCCAAAACAGGTTTTAGTTATGGTTTTTTCTTTTATCTTTTGTATTATTTCATTATATTTTATTATTTTAATTTATATTATTATTTTAATTTATATTTTAAATCAGAAAAACAAAAATAAGAAATCGCGTAACTCCTCTTCAACATACTTTTAATGAGATAATTAAGAAGCATAAAAAAGGTAAGAAGTTTTCTTTTGTATTTAATTTATATAATAATAATAATAGTGTATTTAATTTTCAACAGGTAAGAGGATTTGTATTTTTTTTCTTTCTTTTAATTTTTCTGTTTTAATTTTTTTAGTATTTTATTAAATTTTTTTATTAACAAAGTCAACAAAGCAAAAACAAAGTGTATTTCATTTTCAACATACATTTTATTTTATTCTTTTATTTTATGCTACGTAACTCCTCTTCAACATACTTTTAATGAGATAATTAAGAAGCATAAAAAAGGTAAGAAGTTTTCTTTTGTATTTAATTTATATAATAATAATAATAGTGTATTTAATTTTCAACAGGTAAGAGGATTTGTATTTTTTTTCTTTCTTTTAATTTTTCAGTTGTAATTTTTTTTGTATTTTATAATTTTTTTTTTATTAAATCTAATTTTATTTTTGAGTCAAGAAAGCAAAAACAAAGTGTATTTAATTTTCAACATACATTTTATTTTATTTTATTTTATTTTATTCTTTTATTTTATGCTAGGGCCTATCCCAGGGTCTCTGGGTTTTTCTCAGGGTTTTTATTTTTATTTAATTACATTTTTTAATTTAATTTTAATTTATTAAATTTAAGTCAACAAAGCAAAAACAGAGTGTATTTAATTTTCAACATACTTTCAATTAGATTATTAAAAAAAGTCTGAACCCGTAAAATTTATTTTATTTTATTTTATTTTATTTTATTTTACGCTGGGGCCTATCCCAGGGTCTCAGGCGGAAAGCTTTTTTAATTTTTTAATTTAATTAAATTTTTTAATAGTTTATTTATTCTCTCATTTAATTTGCCAGCCATTATCACAAAACTACACACATACTGTCTGCACACAATCCAACAAAACAGGGATATCCACACAATATTGTAATTGATTCGAATAGATTCAGGCTGAATCGAGTTCCTATTAGAGTTTATATGGCGCTCAGTCAGTAATTTTGGGGTTGGACTGATAACCTAATTTTGGCCTATACTTCAAGCCCCACCGTTCATTTTTTCCTCATTAAATATCCTGTTTTCATTTGGAAATGTCCCACGTTGTGAAGGGTGTAATTTCTCTCTCACCAAATGGAACTGCAAACATAATGACTGTTTCCCAAGCACTCCTACAGGTAATCTCGCCCGGGCCTGCTTCGCTGGTTCAGAGGGATGTTGAAATGTCATGCCGACAGCTAAACTATCCCAGGCAGATCATGAAAAGTCTCTGTCAGACCACGTTTGGGACATTGCATCAATGCAAATTCATCACAGAGACCACAATCATCATTACACATTCAAGGAAGTCAGGTTTGCTCGCTTCCCCAAGTGGAAGGGTGAAAGCACTGCTGCGTTTTTATTACATTTATCACTGATTTGATCTAAAATGTGTGAATTAGTGTAAACAACTGATATAAAGGATTAAAGAAAACAGATTTGATTTAGCTAAATGTGCCATTTGCAGAGAGAAGACATCAATATTGAGCAAGAAAGGAACCTACCAGAAAGCGACAGCCGTCGATCCTGTTTCTCTGTACAGCGTCTGCACAGTCTTTCAAGTTGTGCTGTCAACAAACACCACTACGTTTGAGCTATTTTACATACAGCACATCAATAAAATAACAAAAAAGGTGAATAGTATTGCTAAAAGTGATTTACAGATAAATTGAATCTCTGAAGGCTCACCTGACTCAGAAGAGCGGCGACCCGCGCTGGACTCCAGCCCTCACATTGCTCTCTAGTTGGTAAACTCATCCTGGTCAGTTTTCTAGACTAACTCCTCTCAACCGGCTCTGACAATAACTAACATTTAGCAGAGGCTTTACTGCTCTGTATGAGGCAAGTTCATGCAACATGGGAAGTTCCTCTTGACGGTAACTGACCCTATACGCCACTATTTTCTCACACTTCTCTGTCAGAAACTGTGGTGAGGAATTCATTTGTGCAGGTAATGCAAAGCCACAGCAGACTATTTCGACTGACGTGTGATTTTGAGGCCACTTAAAAGTGTGCATAAAGTGTGAATGAACTGCTTTTTAAAGTTAAGTGCTTCTCTGTGGGAAAACACAGGTTGCAGAAGACAGAAAGGGAAATGAACGATAAACCCGAGAATGTATTTTAGAGCAGAACTAGCTGTTACATGAGCTTTATGTCAGGAACTGTGAGGTTTTTTGGTTTTCGTTGGTGATTTGAAAAAGTTGGGTTATTTTCTATTTTCAAGCAAAGAAATATGTCAGTTTGGGGCAAGTTGTCACATTTTCACTGTTTTTTTTCTCTTACAGCTCATTAAACATTTTCTGTAAAATAAAAACAAACAAAAAAACACAATGTTTTGATGTTTTAGAAGTTCATTTTTGTATACGTTTTTGTAATTAAATATTAAAAATAATTTTTAATAAATAAACAAATACATAAATTATAATATACTATAATTTACTGTTATATAATATGACAACGTTCAACTTATGTGATTTCTTTAATGACCATTTGATCTATTTTATTATTTTTATTTATTAATATATTTTGCCTGGTGAAAATGTTTGTTAAGTGACCTGTAAATGACCAGCTGGGCCTGGGTTTTGCAAATTTATTCACATATAATATAATATAATATAATATAATATAATATAATCATTTGTATGATTTATTATTAAAAATGAATAGAGGAAAAATTGGTCATTTAACAAAAACTGTGTGGTTTCTCCAAGTTTTTTCCTCTATCAATAAATAATACATATAATAATAATAATAATAATAATACATACATATTTTATGTATGTTGTATGTATGAATGTATTTATTTAACATATAGTAAAATTAAATATTTTTTAAGTGAATTGAGAACCCTACAGAATTTCAGATACTATTAATTTTTTGGTGCAGCTGCTTTACATCAGTGTCCATTGTGAAAATAAGAGCCCGGTCTCATGAAAATGTGTATCAATAGCACGATTTTTTATTTATTTGTATTTTTTTATTTTTGTATTTCATGTGCTATTTATACACAAAACTGACTTAGGCATGCATATGATACGCACTTTGTTGCCGTGCATATAATACACATTTTGCCGTGCATATAATACGCACCTACCAAGTCCATTTCGGCGTATAAATTGTATGCCAAATAGAAACAGAAAATTGTGCCATTGAAACGCACATTCAAAGGACTATTAATAGAACTGACATCTTTCAAATGCTCAAAAGCTTTTGTTCAATAATGTTCAACAGTCAAGGCTTGTAATGTGTGTGTGTTTATTCAGATGCTGACTTTCAAAATATACTCACACTGAGAAATATTCACTGGAGTAAAGCGTGTGACAACTAGCCCCGGTCTCCCCTACAGCTTGCACACATGCAGTAGACGTAGTACATAATGGAGAACAATGAGCGCTTGTGGGTAATTACAAATATATCCACTTACTCACTTTTAGATGGCCGTGTCTTAAGGGTTTTTTTCTCAACAGGAAGCAATGAAATATGTAAATGCTTTTAATAACATTTGTCATTTCCTTTTAAGATAGTTAACCACCATAGCATGTGATCATGAGAAGATATTTGACACTGAATTATCTGACTTATGCAATAACAACCTAAAAATATTAATATTACTTTGAAATTGATATGTGTTTTCACCCACAGGTTTCAAATGTTTTTGCTGACCACAGAATACACAAGTTTCTGTTTCTCTCTTATTAATGAATTATCAGACTCAAGCACTCTCTGTAAGCTTCAGTGCTGTCCAGATGATGGGAAATGTCATTTCGAGCGGTTTATTTCACCTGTGTCTTTGTCTCGTCTGTAGGCCGCACACAGACGATGCACCACAGCTCAAGTGGTTTCAAACAGGTCAGTTTCAAGAGCTGCTTGGGTATAAATAGGGTTTTCACAAAGACGTGATACAATAAGCTCAAGATAAGTTTCTGCATCTAAAAATGCCTCATATGGAAAGTTTTATGCTAAACGTATATGCTGTTATTTAGAAACACTATATGATACTATGAGAAAGAATAGTACACTGAAGAAATTTGGTGTTGAAACAATTTTCACTTATAAATTGATCAGTAAATTGCATAAACCATATGGAAATGTAATATATGATATACATTGCCCTGTATAGATGAGAATATATGTTTATTTGTATATGTACATATGTTAGTAATATCTTTGATAATTTTTTTATATTGCATTATATGTAGTAACCATCTGTCAACAATATATATTTTGTTTATGTATGCAACTTCATGAAAACAGTATATATTATAAAAACTCTGTATGTTTATATATGTTTTGTAGTAATTATTTAAATAAATGTCCAACTTATGTTATATATACACATATATATTTACTGACAGAATCAACATGCATTGATGGAATTTCAAATAGGCTCCATATATGACAAAATATTTGGAAATTTAGTATATGTACATATGTGACGTTTGCATATGGGAATATGTGATTATCAGTTTTAGTGAGATTCTACAATTCAGTTATTTGGAAATACAGTGATGCCATAAAACTCTCTCGTGCTGGTAATAATGTTTTTGTGATGCATTGTGTATTATATTTACAAAGAATTATTGCATTATGAATCATAATGATTCACTTTATAACAGCTACTTCATAATGTTAAGATTAATTATATACTGATGCAGTGTTTTTATATAAAATTAATAGCAGTTATTGTTAATACGGTTGTTCCAGGAATCGTTGTTGTGCAGGTGCTCCGACACGGACTATTTTTCACCGGCCTGCTTTTTTAATTCTGGAGCGGATCCAAACCCGCGCTGACATGAAGAATTGAGAGGAAGTGGCTTTACGATTGCGCAAAAGCTACAGTGTGACCCTCCAGTTAACCTCCGGCATCAAGTTAATGAGAGTCGTAGCATCATTGTCAAAGACGCACACACACACACACACACACACACACACACACACACACACACACACACACACACACACACACACTGAGGTTATGAGAAAATGACCCATACTGATTCTGTGAACGAGGTCTCTCTCATTGCTGTAGTTTTCTTTTGGTCCAATGGACCCTTTTCACAAGGCTGTGATGACACGTTTAACGGTCATCAACATCGTAAATCGTAAAAAGTTTTTCATATTTGTATTTTAAAAAAAATGCATGTACATTTATAACACTATTCTTTGTATTATATCACCTTTGCGTCAAATTACAAATAAACAGTTAATGCTAACGCAAGGGTGTTTCTAATGCAGTGTCTATGGGAGGGACTCTCTATCAGTCTCTCTCAATTTTTTTCCTTTTATTGAAAGTCGTGAAAACACTATCGTGGAGTTTTTCTTTTGCTATTTGAGCAGATGGGAATGAAAAACATATATTTGTGGTACACTCCCATTCACTGCTCTCGAAGTTTACCCAACTATGACGACTTCTGCTGCTGAGAAACCTGGAAATGTGAAAAGGGTCCATTAGAGGATTCCTCCCCAGAGAGAGAGAGAGAGAGATACAGAGAGAGAGAGAGAGACGGGTCTGTGTTTGCAGGTTATTTAGATGGGAGTGTTTATAGAGGACTAACGCAGCAGCAGTGTTTGTGATCTATTAGATACAGGGCTGTAACCACCATAGACATAGAGGAGGACAAGTACACCCCCCTCAAATAATCAGAAATGTACCCCCCAATATTTAAAAATCTTGCACTGGACGCTACCCTCCATTACACAGCAATCTGTTTGTTGCTAGCAGGACATAAAGGTTTAAAGGTACGTTTTTAATTTAGGCTGGTCCGGTCCGAGAACTCAATAGTTCTCTCCAAGGGCGTAAATTTCATCTAACAGTAGGGGGGGGGGGACAATAAACATAAAATTTCTCAAGAGCAATTTTTGAAGGGGTCACAAATAATACAGCTAAAATTGTACTTGTAAGGACAGATATGTGTACACAGCATGTGTTCAGTGCATGGCATGGAGACCGTGTTTAAATATGAGTTCTCTGTGCATTATTTACAATATACGGAGAGGTTTGTAATAATATTTTTAGGGGGGACAACCCTCAGATGGGTGATTTACGCCCCTGGTTCTCTCCTTACATATGAAGAGGTCAAGTAACAGATTAATGAGCTATTCCAAATTTCACAAAAAGGCTTATGAATGTAAATATAATATGTGACCATGGACCACAAAAACCAGTGATAAAGGTCAATTGAAAGCTGAATAAGTAATATTTCCATTGATGTATGGTTTGTTAGGATCGGACAATATTTGGCTGAGATGCAACTATTTGAAAATCTGGAATCTGAGGGTGCAAAAAAAATCTAAATATTGAGAAAATCATCTTTAAAGTTGTCCAAATGAAGTTCTTAGCAATGCATATTACTAATCAAAAATTAAGTTTTGATATATTTACGGTAGGAAATGTACTAAATATCTTTATGGAACATGATCTTTACTTAATATCCTAATGATTTTTGGCATAAAAGAAAAAAATGTATAATTTTGACCCATACAATATATTGTTGGCTATTGCTACAAATATACCCGTCACATATAAGTCAGACATTGAAGTGAGTTGAAGTGAACAAACATTCACTTGTTTTGGACATTTTGCTCAGATTTATTTAAATGTTCATTCAATCTCATTTTGTGAGTGACTTTTCTTTCTGTTTTAAATATGCTTTCTTTGGATTGTTTGACTACTCGAAAGAGAACACAGGAAAATATAACTTTTTATAATTAATAATATTGTTTCCTGCTAGCTAAATTTCACATACATAAACCAAAATCTGTCTCTAAACCTCTCTTTTCTTTATTCAAAGCTGATGTAGACAAGTAGCCTACACAGGCATTTTTATTTATTTATTCATTTTGTTAACCTGGCATCACCTCCCTTACAAAAATGAACCGTTTTACTAAAATAAAAATAAATAAACATAGTAAACCATGGTGAACACAATTTATCCATGCTTTTTCTACACTAACCATATTTATGGTAAAACTGTAATTATACAAAAACAAACAAACAAAAACATTGTTACTACACTTATACTTACACTTACTATAATAAAACAATGATTAATTTTTTTATGATTGATTTATTTGTGTATACTTTATTTTTTCTTTTGTTTTATAACTGTACTGCCTTAATGGTTTGAGATTTTGTACTTTTTAATAAACAAAAATCAGAATAAGATTCGCAATACTTGCTCCGAAGTACTGTTCTGAAACAAATGATTCGCATACCCTCCGAAGTTCCAACCTAAATCAAATGATTCGCGATTCGTGCTCCGAAGTTCTGATCTAAATCAAAGGATTTGCGCTCTGCGCTCTGAAATTCCGATTAGAATAATGTTTCGGAATCCATCATTTCAGATTGGGACTTAGGAGCTCAGATCACTAATTTTTAAATTCGCTAAATGATTTTTTTTTTTTATTGGATGAAGTTGAGAGAGTGATAATTCTCAATGATAAAGCAGGTGAAAAATTTCGTCTCTATATATGAGACCAGAGTCATATCTAGAAACCAGAGTTGTGCACCTGTTTTATCAATAGCTAGGTGAAAACTGTAATATGATTGCTTAGAGCATGCATTAGAATAACAGAGATGAAGACAAAGATAAGCAACTGGGGAAAAAACTCAACAAAGCATCAACAGAATAAATAAACAAAGCAGTAGGAAGTGAATGATGCACTGAGGGAAACAGTGCGAGTTCTTCTGTAAAGAAGAGGCATAATAAAGATCTAAAAAGCCCTCAATGACCAGTTCATCTCCACATATGGTACTTAGCATCCATTCAGCAGGTAATGAAGGGTTTCTTCTTAGCGGGTAGAGGCTCATTAGCTTGCTCAGGCAGATGGTGGTGCGGTAGGAACAGGATGGTGTGCTGTACTACATATGTGCCACGTCTGTGAGGAAACTGCTGGACGTTACTGGACAGCTGTAGAGGTTTATCACTCTGACCAGCCCTCTCAAATCCCACGACAACTCGGTGGAGAAATTCAGTCCAGCACTTGTGAGATGCAACAAGAAAAACAAGGTAAAGTTCACTCAGATGCACCTGCAGAACATGAATATATTCTCATTGCGTGACTGGAAAACAGCTTGAAACAGACTCATGTAAGCATTGTTTTCAGAGATGCTGTGGCTGCAAACATATGGATTGAATCCCAATGTGCCCACCATCCATCTCGTATGATATGCCAAAGTGAGACAGATGTATCCCAAATGGTGTTGAAAATGCACTAAATGGCCAAAAGCATGTGGACGACTTCTAATTAACAGCTTCCAGTGATTTCCATGAGGACAAACCTTAATGCTGCACATAAAATGATGACATCAAGGGAATTGTGTGCTTTAGATTTTGTTGCAACACTTTATGAAGGGTGTTTGTCTACAGCAGCTTGACGACACCCCTGTGCACACAGACAAGTCCATATTATTTGTTGACTTTGGTGGTGAGATGTTTTCACTGGAATTACTGCAACAGCTAAAGCCATTTATTAGAAAGAGAGGGACATATATTGCTTTATAGTGCAAAATTGGGCCATTTTTTCCCAGTAATCTCAATGAAAAAAGTGTCCCAATTTACTTGAATTCCCCCTATATCAAAGGTGCTTAAAATCCTATTTCTAGTTGATTTGCAATGTTTGCATCCATTTATGTCTAGTCTGACATATAGTCTTGGCCTTTGCATTTGTGTTTTTCTGTTGAGTATTATATTTAATACATAATTCTTTTTTGGCTCGTGTAGACTGACATAGTGAGAATATGGAGGGGAAAACAGCTTAATTTTATTCAGAGACTCAAACTGATCAAAAATATGTATTTTGGTGCAGATGCTGATATTTATATACTTATATTGACAAAAAGTAAGATGAAATTCTGATGCATATTATGTAAATCAATGAGGTCTTTATAACAGTATAGCAGATACTGACCTAAAATTAAATATCTGTCGTCACTATATCTCCAATAATATGTCTTAGTAAGATGATCAGAACATATAATGCAATGCAATACAGTGATGCTTGAGAGATGAACAAATAAACGTTCACAGAAAAGCCTGACGATCATATAGTCACATTTGAACATGATTTTTCTAAAAAAAGTGATCAAGTAAACCTAAGTTACTTCAGTTGCATTTAGAGTTTTTAACACCATTATCATCATGATAGGCTTTTTTGACAACAGTCTTGTTGGAAATGAGAAGTGATGGTCACACATCTCATTTTAAGACTTTAAAGAGACATTTCACCCAAAAAATTACTTTTTGTCATCATTTACACACCCACGTCATTCCAAATTGGAGTTTTTGTCTTCTTTTCTGAAACAAGATATTTTGAGAAAAGTGTTCTTTTGTCCATACAGTGGAAGTCAATGAGCCTTAACATTGTTTGGTTACCAGTGTTCTTCACAATATCTTAATTTGTTGTCTTTTGTGAAAGACATACAGGTTTGGACTGACATGAGGATTAAATGATGAAAATATCAATATCTAAGATGAGTGTAGCTTTGTGTCATTTCCAAACCAAGCTAAATTTTGGATTTTTATTCAGAAACAATCATTTCTTTTACACTTTATACGTTCAGAGTGGTCCTAATGAAAGAATCAGACATTAATGGGTAGAGGCTCATTAGCTTGCTCAGGCAGATGGTGGTGCGGTAGGAACAGGCTGGTGTGCTGTACTTCATATGTGCCTCGTCTGTGAGGAAACCGCTGGACGTTACTGGACAGCTGTAGAGGTTTATCACTCTGACCAGCCCTCTCAAATCCCACGACAACTCGGTGGAGAAATTCAGTCCAGCACTTGTGAGATGCAACAAGAAAAACAAGGTAAAGTTCACTCAGATGCACCTGCAGAACATGAATATATTCTCATTGCGTGACTGGAAAACAGCTTGAAACAGACTCATGTAAGCATTGTTTTCAGAGATGCTGTGGCTGCAAACATATGGATTGAATCCCAATGTGCCCACCATCCATCTCGTATGATATGCCAAAGTGAGACAGATGTATCCCAAATGGTGTTGAAAATGCACTAAATGGCCAAAAGCATGTGGACGACTTCTAATTAACAGCTTCCAGTGATTTCCATGAGGACAAACCTTAATGCTGCACATAAAATGATGACATCAAGGGAATTGTGTGCTTTAGATTTTGTTGCAACACTTTATGAAGGGTGTTTGTCTACAGCAGCTTGACGACACCCCTGTGCACACAGACAAGTCCATATTATTTGTTGACTTTGGTGGTGAGATGTTTTCACTGGAATTACTGCAACAGCTAAAGCCATTTATTAGAAAGAGAGGGACATATATTGCTTTATAGTGCAAAATTGGGCCATTTTTTCCCAGTAATCTCAATGAAAAAAGTGTCCCAATTTACTTGAATTCCCCCTATATCAAAGGTGCTTAAAATCCTATTTCTAGTTGATTTGCAATGTTTGCATCCATTTATGTCTAGTCTGACATATAGTCTTGGCCTTTGCATTTGTGTTTTTCTGTTGAGTATTATATTTAATACATAATTCTTTTTTGGCTCGTATAGACTGATATAGTGAGAATATGGAGGGGAAAACAGCTTAATTTTATTCAGAGACTCAAACTGATCAAAAATGTGTATTTTGGTGCAGATGCTGATATTTATATACTTATATTGACAAAAAGTAAGATGAAATTCTGATGCATATTATGTAAATCAATGAGGTCTTTATAACAGTATAGCAGATACTGACCTAAAATTAAATATCTGTCGTCACTATATCTCCAATAATATGTCTTAGTAAGATGATCAGAACATATAATGCAATGCAATACAGTGATGCTTGAGAGATGAACAAATAAACGTTCACAGAAAAGCCTGACGATCATATAGTCACATTTGAACATGATTTTTCTAAAAAAAAGTGATCAAGTAAACCTAAGTTACTTCAGTTGCATTTAGAGTTTTTAACACCATTATCATCATGATAGGCTTTTTTGACAACAGTCTTGTTGGAAATGAGAAGTGATGGTCACACATCTCATTTTAAGACTTTAAAGAGACATTTCACCCAAAAAATTACTTTTTGTCATCATTTACACACCCACGTCATTCCAAATTGGAGTTTTTGTCTTCTTTTCTGAAACAAGATATTTTGAGAAAAGTGTTCTTTTGTCCATACAGTGGAAGTCAATGAGCCTTAACATTGTTTGGTTACCAGTGTTCTTCACAATATCTTAATTTGTTGTCTTTTGTGAAAGACATACAGGTTTGGACTGACATGAGGATTAAATGATGAAAATATCAATATCTAAGATGAGTGTAGCTTTGTGTCATTTCCAAACCAAGCAAAATTTTGGATTTTTATTCAGAAACAATCATTTCTTTTACACTTTATACGTTCAGAGTGGTCCTAATGAAAGAATCAGACATTAATGTGTGTGATCGTGTGGTATAAAGGCCTGTGGTGTCACATTGCCATACCAGAGAGTTTGTGAATACACACTCTGTGCTATTTATTCAACGTTTCCCTCAGTGCAGATATTATTTTCCTTTTTTCTTCCCCGTGACCCGGTGTTCTGCGTCCATCTGTTAGTGGTAGTTTTGGCAGTGCCCTATCAGAACGAGTGCCAAATCAAAAGCACCTGTTGTAAGACTCTTCTACTCTTTGCCAAAACCATAAACAAACACGCCACACCAACTGCCAATTTTGTCTGTCAAAGGAAAATAAGACACCAACGGCATCACCCCATGCAACTGTGAAGAATATGCGACAGAAGCCCCAGGCCCTGGTTCAGAGATGTTTCCGACAGCTCTTCTTACTCGAAAGCGTCGGCGGCCTGAAGTTGCCTTCGTTGGGGGTCGCGAGGAGGTGAAGTTCAGGGATGTGAGACTGTTCCTGGTGGAGAGGAGGATGGGAAAAAGCAGAAGGAATTTTCTGTCTAATCTCGCCAGATCTAAGGGCTTCTGCGTAGACGACGCTCTCAGGTACGTGACACAGAAAACAACCCAGTGGATGACGCCGTGACCTAATTCATATTCCAGAGTCACCCTCAGGCCAAGATGTTTGTGATGGTAAAGAAGTTGAAACCATGCTTTTGGTTGAAACCGTGGTCCTAGATGATCATAAAATGCAAGTCAGCGGCTACTTTCTTGCCCACAAGGGCAAAAAAAAGAGTCCCAATTTTCATATTATCCATCCTAAATAGTATTCAAAAATAGAATTAGTATGTCCTGAATCGTAGTATGAGTATGTCAAAGATGGTCTACCACTTCTGGTTAGAATTTGAAGTACAGATGCACACTCTAACAGCTAATATTGCCCACAACACATTGCGAGGTGAACGAGGATTCAGTTAGAACTACAAACAAGCATAAAAAGTGTTTAAAAACTACAAACGTGGCGGATACGCGAGACTGACGGACAAGAGAAAGGGGGTTGAGTGATAAATATTTTTTTCATCAGGTTAGACATCAATTATTTATTTAATGGTATCCGTGTTATATTTCATCTGCAGCAACATTGTGAACTTTTATAATGATGTGTTTGGTCATTAACTTTTAAATGCATCACTATGTGCATTTAAATGCATCATAGTGATATAGTACAAGTAGGCGAATTGGGATGCAGCATTAGTTCAGCTGGAAAACGTACGCTACAATTCTAACCTGAAAATGTCTACTCTGCTCCATACTGCCAGGGTTGCCAGGTTTGCATGATAAATTTAGTCCAATGGCCAGTCAAAAACAGCCCAGAGTAGAGCAATGACCATATCCCAAATATCAAAACTCAAAGATGACTGACAGGACCGTGCTGGAGGATTTGATGCTCAACAGATCCTGAACTCATTGACAAATATCTGATCTCGTAAGATGTGCTCTCTTTACACAGATTGCGCGTGATCGCGAAATCTAAAGATTTCAATACCCTGCATATTGATAGCAGCTCCCTGCTGCACGAAAATGATACACAATATTATAATGTTAGTTCAGGATCAGATACGCCAGTATTTTGGCTCATTTCGAGTTTGAGTGACTGTCAGGCGTCTGAAAGTGAGTTATGATTGATTAACCTGTAGGGCTGCCCCCTAACAGTCAACTAATCATTAGTCGACCAGAAGAGGCTTGGTCGACCAAAATTTTATTAGTTGCTTAGTGCAGAAAAAAAATCCACATTGGCGAAGTCACGCAGATCGTTAAGGCTGGTCTATGTGGTAGTACATCGGGCAGGACATCCAAACGCTGGCCTATCATTCATCGACCTCAGATATGGCTTATCATCTGAAATATGTAAGTATTAGCAACTTTACATGGCCGCTCACTCTAATGTTAACCTAGAGAAATGTGCGCTATTCAAGTGTCTCTGTGGAAGCTCACTGCAGAACAGATGGAGGCGCCGGTGCGCTCACTGTCTCTTAAAAGATGCCGTCATTTTTGCTCATACAGATAAGAGTAATACATCTTTCGAGTCTGTAAAGACTCTACGTTTATTTGTGTGCACTCCCAATAACATCAGAACATTGCGCTTTTGTAAAATAATGAAAGAGATCAGGATGCGCTTTCTGCCGTTTCGGTCTCTGTGAACTCGAGGGCGAAACTCCGTGTATATCTTTGCCTTACAGGCATTAGAAATATATCTATAGAGAGTGAAATGTCTACTTTTTAAATAAACCAATTAAAATGGTAAACAAATATTCTCAGATTATGTAATCCGTATGAAACATGCAGGCGAATCCACTACTGTGGAGATGACGAGTCAGTGTCGCCGACTTCATCTCTTAAACCGAAAACAAAAAAAGCACTAGTTTATCAGTGGATTATTAAAATGTTAATGCAGCCTCCTTATTGTTTTTCCCTGACATATTCATAATCATTACTTCTGCCGGTGCACTGTGGCTTTATGCGTGTGCTTGAGTGCTTATTAGGCAATTAAAGGCTCATTATAATGATTTAAATGGTTTATTATTAAACGTGCGATTAATCAACTAATGCTTCAAATGAACGACTACTAGTCAACGAGAAAAATCCTTTGTCGAGGGCAGCCCTAGTAACCTGTAGATCTGTGTAATTGAGCCTTTGGATCAGTCATGTTTAAGGAATTTGAACAGAACTTAAGCAGAAGTTAGTATGTCTCAGCAAATCATTTTATTATATAAAACATCCAGGGAGAGGGTAGATACGTTTTTTCATTGAATGGGCAGTTTTCATAAAAACACGTTTTGGCTTTAATAGTTGGTTTAGCTTAAAAAACGCCAATGACCACACTTAATTTGACGTAAATGTATGTAAAACTGATGAACCATGAACCGAGTGTGAAAACAGTCGGAGGCATTTTCTGTGTTTGTTTGTTTTAAATCCTACTCAGAGTCATTCAGATCCCAGTACAGATATTTTCCCTATTTAGAGACCGTGAGTGACGTACATCTTTGGCAAACAATTAAGAGCTCTATTTTTGACTGTGTAATAAAATATTTTAATTTGCATACAATTTTATGCAAATCACAGTGATAATGACTAGGGCGGCTGGAGTCCCGATGAGTTTCTAGACAGAAGGTTGCATAGAAAATGGCGTTGTAATAATAGCACAGAAACCATCTATTAAAACCTCTTCCCACAGCTATTGATTAACAGAATTAATCAGTCGCTTCAAGAAGAACCAAACTTTACAAGCACAGACAAACGTGTTTTGAAGTGGAAAGCACAGTGTCAGAGTGTGTAATGTGCTGAACATCACGCGTGAAGTGTCGTCTGTTATTCTTCTCTTCATGGCTGCTTGGTCAGAAGCGATCCTGGGTTGTTGGTGCCAGTTTGTGCAGGTGGAGAAGCACCAGTGGGAGTTGTTTGGGTAGATGGGCATAACAGCAGTCAGCAGTTTGCCGTAGCATAGCGTGCTGAACCCAGCTGAGTGATGGCACCATTCCCAGAAATGCAGCTTGAGCTCGAGCGGCCTACGGCTGTGTGCTGCTGTCTGCAGCCAACCACAGGAAACCCATCGTGATGAGCTGAAAACTGACATTTCATAAGCCAGTGAGGATTTGATATCTGTACGAGTCTGATAATACAGTGCCCTATAATAAATCCCCTGGTATTACCCTGCACACGGATGCATGTTGTGATAGAGACGTCACGGAGACGCTGCACGGGAAGGGCTGGAACATTCATAATGTACATCTTATGTTATATTGAAGCTGTTTGAATCAATCAAAGCGTGATTGGCTTCCTGTGGAGTTTGATGTAAGAGGAAAATGCAGGTTGCTCGTTCATCGCTCGGCATCAGCTTGGATGCTTCTGCTAAAATTCCTTTTGGAGGAATAAAAATAGACAAATCAGTCATGCAGTGAAAGTATAGAGCTATAAAATTCAGATCATTTGATCTTGTGGGAGTTTGCATCAGTCTCTCTGACTTCTAATTGCAAACATTGCCATCTTGAAAAATATGACAAATTTGCATGCAATTTAAATACTCTGGTGCATGAATTTCAGAAGCATGGTATAGAGTCAGAGGCTCATTTGACTTTAGCCGGAAAAAAACTGCATAGCGATGCCCTGGCAAACATCTTATAATTTTGGCATTGAGTTTTGCACAGACAAACGCCAGTAATATTTTCTTTAAAAACTGTAAAAATTATTAAATATATTGGACTCTAATAATGTATAGTTTCTCTGCTTTCAAGTCAAATCATGTGTTATTGTTAAATAGACCTATTAAAAATGTTTTCATTAGTTGGCAACTAACTGAAATAAGTTTAAGTACTTGAAATAAAACTAAAATTTGAAATAAATTGGTTTACTAAAACTGAAAAAAGAAAGAATTAAAACTAAATAGAAATATAAAAAGGTAAGTTTTATTAATTGAAATAAAGCTAAAAAATAAAATGAAAAATGAAAAACTTGAGAATTAGAAATGCTTCCTTGACAACTAACTGAAATAAGTGTAAGTAATAAAATGACTAAAACTAAAACTGAAATGAATAGAAAACCTTAGATTGAAAATGATGTTGCTTTGGCAGCTAACTGAAATAAGTTGAAGTACAAAAAATACTAAAACTAAAACTGAAGTAAAACTAAAAGGAGTTAAATAGCAGTATTAATAACTTAGTTTTTGTTCATTTTAATAAATAAATATAAATATTAGATGAATGTAAACTTAAAAAAAAAGCGAATTGTTGCCTTGGTAATAAATAGAAATAAGTTTAAGATGAAGTACTGAAATTACTAAAACTGGAGGGAAAAATAATTAAAACTAAATAGAAATATAAACTATAAAATATAACAAACTATAAAATATAAATAAAAGTTTGCTTTTGTTAATTAAAATAAGGCTGAAAAATATAAATATTAGATAAAATACTAAATTTACAAAAACTGAAAAAAATTAAGCTAAATAGAAATTTTACAAAAATAAAAATGACTGAAGCACATAACAAAATCACTAAAACTTAAATTAAAATAAAAACTGAAAATATAAAAATAAAAGCTAATTTTAAATATTAATAAATAGTCTAATAGGCCTATAATAATACTAAAGTAGTCAGACCATTAAAAGGTTTAGTTTTTTGTTATTCAATCAAACAAACCAGATTTACATTTCGAAAGAATAAAGATGAGAGATTTTCCCTCTGATGGCAAACAGAGGTGAGTAAATGAGTCTCGCAAGCCACGTCAGTGGTCGATTTCCCCCGAGCGCTCTCCGTCTCGGGCTCATTTCACACATCCACAGCGGCACCTGTCCGTTCTGCTATTGTACCTCGGTGTGTCTGATTGCATAATTTGGTTTAGCCTACTGCTCTGATAGACTCAGTCATTTAGCAAAGTGCTGAAAGCTCAGGACGGCTTTAGAGAGACGCATGATAAACATGTGCTGCACATCAGCTGGTTTACTGAGAGCATGAGCGCAGGCCGGCCCGTGCCTGTGGAAATCAGACATTACATACAAGTAAGTGCACTTGAGAAGCTCATATGACAAAGAGCAGCAGTTTTCTGTCTTTTTTCCACAATTTGTTAGCATTGCTGTGTGTTTCACCTGTGAAATCACACATGGTTAACTAAAACTAAAACCTAAACCACATACACATTACCAAGGCAACATTTCTCATTTTTGTTCAGTTTAAGTACTAAAATAACAAAAACTAAAACTTACTGAAAACTGACATAGACATATTTTTTTTAAAAGCAAAAGCAAAAGCAAAAGCAAAAGCAAATAAAATAAAATAAAAAACACAACAAATTGCTAAAACTTTCAGATGATATAAAAACTACATAAAAACATAAAAAAACATTTCATTACTTGAAATAAAACTTCTGTCTTTTTTCCACAATTTGTTAGCATTGCTGTGTGTTTCACCTGTGAAATCACTCATGGTTAACTAAAACTAAAACCTAAACCACATACACATTACTTTAAATATTGACTAAAATATAGAACAAAATATATTTTAAAAAATCAAGTTGCCAAGGCAACATTTCAAATTTTTGTTCAGTTTAAGTACTAAAATAACAAAAACTAAAACTTACTGAAAACTGACATAGACATATTTTTTTTAAAAGCAAAAGCAAAAGCAAATAAAATAAAATAAAAAACACAACAAATTGCTAAAACTTTCAGCTGATATAAAAACTACATAAAAACATAAAAAAACATTTCATTACTTGAAATAAAAGATAGAAGAAATATATAAAAATTCCAGTTGCCAAAACAACGTTTCTCATTTTGAAGTACTAAAATAACAAAAACTAAAACATAATAAAAACTGTGTAGAAATATTTTTAAAAATCAAAAGCTAATTAAAATGTAAAAAAAAAAACACAACAAATTTGCTAAAACTTTAATTATTTTAATTTTGTTAGTATTACCATTCGCTTGACCTATGAAATCACTCAGGGTTATTTAAAAATGAATATAAAACAAACAAATTAAAAAAATCATTACTCAAAATAAAAATAAAATAAATATTAACTAAAATAAAATAAAATATCTATTCTCATTTTTGGTTTAGTTCGTTGAGGTCCTAAAAAAGCTAAAAGTTAAAACTTAATAATAAAAAAACAGACATTTAAAAAAAGCAATAAACCAAATGACAAAAAAAAAAAAGTAAATAATAAATTAAAGATGTTAACAAATCTGTTAGTATTCCCATTTGTTTCACCCAAGAAATTACTCAATTCTCCTCAGGGTTATTATTGTGAACTAAAACTAAAACTATAAAACAATTAATTACTCAAAATAATAAAAAATTAAATAAAATCCGAAATAATATAAAATACACAAAATTATAAAAATAAATAATCTAAAAATAAAACTTAAAATCTATATAGACATTAAAAAAATAAATTACACACAACAAAATTACTCAAATTAAACTAAAAATGAAATATACAAATAAAATTAAATTCATACAGTATGTCAAACACTAAAATAACTGATCCTGCTTGCAGAAAATAAGCTCTGTGCCTAACAAAAATGTCTGATTCTTACACATAGTGTTCATCATGAATCATGATAATGTTCACAAATGCATACAACTTCTATGAATTTTGAAGTCTAAATACAATCGACAGAAGTAAAAAGCTAAGTGTAGGCTATACGAGCTACGAACTACACCACTGTCACATGACTTCAACCTCACCATTATTAATTGCAGTCTTTATTTAAAACACATTTTCCCTGAACGTTTGAGAATAATTTGCCAGAGCGTGATTGGCAGCTTGATGTTTAATATCCCCAACAGCCACTGTAGTCCCATTTAGACACTTGTTAGCAAAAAGTAAAAGTTTAAAAAAAAGTTATATTGTGTCGTAGAATAAAATATGAAAATAGCTTGAGCTTGTGTTCACCATAACCCTTATTTCATTTAACCAAAAAACATTCAAAAAACCCACTGACTTGGGGACAGTGGACCTTTCTAGTGTTCAAAAACATGTTTAAACTAGACGTGACTTAAAACATAAAGACTTTGCAGCCTACTGAGTGGACTGTGCGAATGAAATATGGCATCTAGGTTGATTCATGCAGTGCTAGAATCATAAACGAATCAGTGCTGGCCTCGTTAAATATTAATGTGCTAAACACTCACACGCTGCTTAGTTTGAGCATCAACAGTTAAAACGTTGACGGTGAACATGCTAAATGCAGTCGGGATGTTTCACAGGTCAGGTAGTAATTAAAATAGGTCATGTGCTTGTCACATTTCGCACTAGTTCATTTAATATTATCAACCTAATGAATAGCAAATGAGAACCTTAACACAGAGTTTTTCCAAATGCTTTTCTAAAACCTATACTGGCTCCTATAATTAATTAATGAACTTTTTTTTAGTCAGTATTCTTGAATTTTTGTCCAGTAGAAGTGTCTAATAAATTGATTATTAATAATAACAACGATAATGTCTTAAAAACAAGATACATATACTGGATTCAGAAAAAATTAGTATCACACCTATATATATTTATTAGGTTGAATGTAAAGTTGATCATTTTGTAAAACCAAATTTTTGTCAAAATTTGTATTTTTGAACTGTGATGATGTTTAAATTACAGTTTTTGCTGTCATTTTACAGTTTAAGATGTGGCAATAGACAATGGTGTTGGTTTAAAAGAACGTTGCTACCTAAACAATGTAATCCTATTTGATTCTATAGTTCTCTTTTTTCCACTTCAGGTTAATCCTGGGCTTTTTAAACAATTGCAAGTGTAAAAAGTCTTGCTGAAATTTAGTCATCCAAGATGAGTTTGTTTCTTCATCAGATTTGGAGAAATGTAGCATTGCATCAGTGTTTCAGCAATGGGTGCCGTCAGAATGAGAGTCCAAACAGCTGATAAAAACATATCACAATAATCCACAAGTAATCCACAGCACTCCAGTCCATCAGTTAACATCTGGAGAAGACAAAAGCTGAAACAAATCCAGCATTAAGATGTTTTTAACTTCAAACTGTGGTCCACAATCCATAATAACGCTTCCTCCAGTGAAAAAGTGTTCTGGTGTGAATCAGGAGAGAAATCTGCACAGATCAAGCAGCGTTTAAACAGCTCTAAACTAATATGTGGCTGGATTTTGATGTGACAGACAACAGCAGATTGGCATGAGAAAGCATTATTATGGATTATGGACTCGTCAGAAGCAATGGTTTGAATCTTAATGCTGGATTTGTTTCAGCTTTTGTCTTCTCCACTGATGGACTGGAGTGCTGTGGATTATTGTGATGTGTTTATCAGCTGTTTGGACTCTCATTCTGACGGCACCCATTCACTGCAGAGCATCCGTTGCTGAGACACTGATGCAATGCTACATTTCTCCAAATCTGATGAAGAAACAAACTCATC